TTGGCATTTTCTTTTCCTTTTCTTTAATCTACTTTGGGATATATGTCGCCCAATTTTGTTTATGGTAAACTTTGCACCTTCTCACTCTGTCCATTTCTCTTGAGCTGTTTTCTCTTGGCAACACAGGATGTTGGAGCTGGTGGCCCAGAAGCAGCGGGAGCGTGAAGAGAGAGAGGAACGGGAGGCATTGGAACGCGAACGGCAGCGCAGGAGACAAGGGCAAGAGTTGTCAGCGGCACGACAGCGGCTACAGGAAGATGAGATGCGCCGGGCTGCAGAGGAGAGGCGGAGGGAAAAGGCCGAGGAGTTAGCAGCCAGGTCTAGGCAATCGAGATGATGGATAGCAGATGAGAAAGAAATCAAGATTTGCTTTGTTGATGTCTGACCTAATTTCCTCTTGTCTACATTCCAGACAAAGAGTTAGAGAAAAGATCGAGAGGGACAAAGCAGAGAGAGCCAAGAAGGTAGGTGATTGAGAAGACGCCACGGGTAATGGAGTGGGCAGGTTAGTAAATCTTTTCCAGCTTCAGAGGGAAATCTTGGGCTTACATGATGTGTTTCACCTGAGGGTGGGTGAGTACCTGATTGAGTGTTTTGCTTTGCCCTTTAGTATGGTGGCAGTGTGGGCTCTCAGCCACCCCCACCGGCACCAGAGCCAGGTCCTGTTCCCTCTTCTCCCAGCCAGGAGCCTCCCACCAAGCGGGAGTATGACCAGTGTCGCATACAGGTACTGATTCTGATTCCTATCTTCCTCCTGGGACCCCTTTATTGCCTGTTAAGGTGCCCGTTTCAGAGCTTTTTTCAGTTAATGTGCCGTTTGCCAAATCTCTCCCTTCTTTGTAAATGACTTTTGAAATCCTATCTACTCTTGGGAAAGGTATCAAATTTCACCTGCCCCAGTCATATTTAAACCCATACCTCCCTCTTACTCAGCAGTTACCCTTTTACTTGTTCATGTTTTTATTTGATTTATTATGCAGCTGTCTGGTGATGTGGTATTTATCCAGATTCTTTTATATAATCTTATCCTTGTCTTTCTTAGGTTGTGAGGGAGCTGGGAGTCTCTCATCCACACTTAGTAAAGCAGAGCCTAAGTGGCTGTTCATTTGGTGCTTTAAATAGTAGTTGTGCTGGTTCAATCTAAGAAGGAGGGGCCAGCTTTAGCTCTTTGCCTTACTTGGGCACCTCATTGAGTTTTGATGCCCACAATACTGAGTATCTCCCTTGCCCTTTAGGTCAGGCTGCCAGATGGGACCTCACTGACCCAGACGTTCCGGGCCCGGGAACAGCTGGCAGCCGTGAGGCTCTATGTGGAGCTCCACCGTGGGGAGGAACCAGGAGGCGGCCAGGACCCTGTGCAATTGCTCAGTGGCTTCCCCAGACGGGCCTTCTCAGAAGCTGACATGGAGCGGCCTCTGCAGGAGCTGGGTATGGCTGCAAGACTAGAAACCAGGACTTGGGGGAGTAGGGAGGCATGCTTGGGAAAAGGAGGGATGCAAAGAGAAAGGGTTTTGTGAACATGGTACAAGGCCAGGAATTTTGGGAGCAAAAACTAAGTATCCTTGTGGTTCAAGCCTGTTTTCTTCCATCTTCAGGACTCGTGCCTTCTGCTGTTCTCATTGTGGCCAAGAAATGTCCCAGCTGAGGGCCTTTGTCCCGTCGTCCCTCTGTGACCCCTTCATCTTTGATAAAGCACTGACATCTCCTTCCTAATAAATAGACCCTGAGTTCTGTACATGCCTGACTCCTTCCTGAATGGCTGGGAGGGAAAAAACCAAGGCAGAGGAGGCTAAAAGGGAACGCATTTGTAGCAGACCCTCTTCCTCATCTTTAGTTTCCAACAAAGACACTTGTTTCTAATCTCTGGGTCTGATGAACTGCTGGGGAAGTTGAGGAGGAGAGGTGCTAAAAGGAGTGGAGAGTACACTGGATGGCACCTTTTACTCCTATGGTAAGACGGAACATAAAAGCCCAACTGCTGCTGCTTTTTTATTTATTTATTTATTGAGAACACAAGAGTGCCTTTTTGTTTTTTTTTTTTTTGAGACAGAATCTTGCTCTGTTGGCCAGGCTGGAGTCAGTGGCGCCATCTCGGCTCACTGCAAGCTCCGCCTCCCAGGTTCACGCCATTCTCCTGCCTCAGCCTCCCGAGTAGCTGGGGGACTACAGGCGCCCGCCACCTCGCCCGGCTAGTTTTTTGTATTTTTAGTAGAGACGGCGTTTCACCATGTTAGCCAGGATGGTCTCGATCTCCTGACCTCGTGATCCGCCCGTCTCGGCCTCCCAAAGTGCTGGGATTACAGGCTTGAGCCACCGCGCCCGGCCAGATAAACAGTTTCTTTACTCATCCTCCTCCTCTTCATCTTCCTCTTCCACCTTTTTCCAGGCAACTTTAGCAGGACCCTTTGCACCATCAAACTTTCCTTTCGACTTACAGTCAGCAGCATCCTTCTTACACTTTTCCTTCAACTTTGCTACCTTAGTGATGTCATTTATTTCACATCTCACCCAGAAAACCTAGCTTCTTAATAGAATAGGGATAATAGTGCCTGTTTCTTGGGATTGTCATGAGGGTTACATAATGCTGGTGTAAGATGCTTTAGCATAGTGCCTAGTACCTAATAAATCCCCAGTAAGCATTAGCTACTAAAAGGATAATTTTACTTACTTATTTGAGGTGGAGTCTCACTCTAGCTCCCAGGCTGTAGTGCAGTGTTGTGATCTCGGCTTACTGTAACCAACGTCTGCCGGATTCAAGCGATTCTGCCTCAGCCTCTTTAGTAGCTGGGTTTGCAGGTGTGCGCCACCACACCTGGCTAATTTTTTGTATTTTTACTAGAGATGGGGTTTCACCATGTTGGCCAGGCTGATCTCAAACTCGTGACCTCAAGATCTGCCTGTCTCGGCCTCCCAAAATCCTGGGCTGAAAGGGTAATTTTTTTGTTTTTTGAGACAACGTCTTGCTCTGTCACCCAGGCTGAAGTGCAGTGGCATGATCTCGGCCCACAGTAACCTCTGCCTCCTGAGTTCAAGCGATTCTGCTGCCTCAGCCTCCCGAGTAGCTTGGGACTACAGGCATGCGCCACCATGCCCGGCTAATTTTTGTATTTTTAGTAGATACAGGGTCTCACATGTTGGCGCTTCTCTCTGCTTTTTAAAACCAAGAAGCACTGATGAGCTTCTCTATGATAGCCCCTCCGGCTGCTGATCACCCCACCCTGGTGTCCTGTCAAACTGCTCCTGACTCCTCCTCTCCTTCCTGGGCTAGGAGAGAGGACACAGTTACTCTGTAAAGATCTGAGAAGAGCACCAATGCTCATATCTGGGTTTATACCCCAGTGTTAGAAAGATTTATTTGGGGCCAGGCACAGTGGGTCATACTTGTAATCCCAGCACTTTGGGAGGTTGAGGCGGGCAGATCACCTGAGGTCAGGAGTTCGAGACCAGCGTGGCCAACACGGCAAAACCCTGTCTCTACTAAAAATACAAAGATTATCCTGGCGTAGTGGCGCACCCCTGTAGTCCCAGCTACTTGGGAGGCTGAGGCAGGAGAATCGCTTGAACCTGGGAGGCGGAGGTTGCAGTGTGTTGAGATAGCTCCATTGCACTCCAGCCTGGGCAACAACAGAGAAACTCTGTCTCAAAAGAAAAAGAAAAAGAAAGAAAAGCTTTATTTGGTGTTCTGACTTTAATAACAGCAGCCTTTTTTTCAATTGCAATCTTGCTTGGGAACCAGAGGATAGACAAAAGAAGAGCAACTTGGTTGGCTAGGCTGTGGGGCTTTGACCCCACTTATTTCATCCTCTCAGTGGCAACTCCAATAAATCCTGACCGGATTCAGAGATTGGAGACCACTTTACATTTCTAAATTAATTTTTTACGCTAATCCTCATAGTTATGACCTTTCAGAGAACAAGACTGAGGTTTGTAACATGCTGGAGTTGAACTAAGATCTGTGACTCAAAGCACACTCCTTTTACTTCTAGTAAGTCAGCCTCCTAAGCTTGTTTAACCAGAGGTTAAATAACGGGCACAGAAAGCACTGCGGCATATGTTAAGTGCTAGATGCCCCTCCAATCTCACTCCAAGGACAGGAGTCCTGAGTGTCCTCTGTAGGCATCTATTACTTCAAGATTTTCCAGGATAGTTCAGATTTCAGGAATGTCCCACAGTTATCCCGGGAAGTACACTCCAACCTGACACCACATGACCTGTTTTGAAAATGTGGTTGGCCGGGTGCAGTGGCTCAGGCCTGTAATCCCAGCACTTTGGGAGGCCAAGGCGGGTGAATCATCTGAGGTCAGGAGTTCGAGACCAGCCTGGCCACATGGTGAAACCCGCCTCTACTAAAACTACAAATATCAGCCAGGCGTGGTCGCGGACGCTTGTAATCCCAGCTACCTGGAAGGCTAAGTAAGGAGAACAGCCTGAACCCAGCTACCTAGAAAGCTAAGTAAGGAGAACAGCTTGAGGTGGAGGTTGCAGTGAGCCAAGATTGCGCCACTGCACTCCTGCCTGGGCAACAAGAGCAAGGCTCCATCTCAAAAAAAAGAAATAGAAACTGTGGCCGCAGCAGGGCGAGGTGGTTCACGCCTGTAATCCCAGCACTTTGGTAGTTCGAGGCGGGCGGATCACCTGGGTCTGGAGTTCGAGACCAGGCTGGCCAACATGGTCAAACCCTGTCTCTAGTAAAAACACAAAAATTAGCTGGGCGTGGTGGTGCGCGCCTGTGATCCCGGCTACTCGGGAAGCTGAGGCAGGAGAATCGCTTGAACCCGGGAGGCAGAGGTTGCAGTGGGCCGAGATCGTGCCACCACACTCCAGCCTGAGTGGCAGAAAGCGACTCCGTCTCAAAAAAAAAAAAAAAAAAGAGAATGTGGTCGAGATACCTATTGGGATCAGCTTCTTCTGGTGGGATGGGACAGGTAGCAGGTGCAGGCCATGCCCCCAGCACCGACCACGGGTCTCTAAGCATTGGTAGGTGTCGACGGCAGGGCTCATTCTGGGTGGAGGAACATGATTTATTGATTCTTTCAGTTAACCACATCCGACTCGCGTCTCGGCCCTGGCCCGCCTTGCGGACTTTAAAGCAATCAGTCCAGGGTTTGGGGGGAACGTGCTCACCCGACGGCAGCTCACAGGACCCTGGAGAGTCCTGGGCATGGCATCTCGGCCGGACTCTCCGCTGGGCCCACGGAGAAAGCCTGCATCGGATTCCTGCGCCCGAGCCAAGGTCCCAGCGCCCACAGGGTCAAGTCCGGTCTCACGGTGACCTCCCGCCGGCGCCGCCTTCGCTAACCATCCAGTTCTTCCTCCAGGCCACGTTCTCCTGTGTGGTCGCTGCCTCCTGCAGAGTGGCCACCAATAGCTGCTGGGTCTTGGCCATCTCCTCCCTGCTCCGCGGGTCCTGCAGTGGCATCTCCTGAGGGCAGGAAGGGGAGTTCGCAGGAGCTCCAGTCCGGGACTCTCCACCCGCCCACCCATCCTCGGGATTACCAGTTGCTTCTACCTTTAGCATTTCCTGCTTCCGCTGCTCTCCGGGGGTCACGATAGCAAGGAGCGCGAAGCCCACGCCAGCCCCTCCGCCCAGCACTGCGACTGTGATCAGTGTTTTCCGCAAGAACTCCATGGCCGCCTGCTCAACCAGCAGGGCGCCCACCGGAGTTCACCGCAGCCGCGAGCTGTACCCGCGCGGTCTCACTGCCCCTTCGCGCAGGCTAGAGCGCCCTATAGCAGAAACCATAGATAAACGGCCGGCTAGAGAGGACCCGCTCAAGGAAACGTTTAGAATCCGGAGCGCCGGGATCTCAGGTTTAGCTGAGGGGGTTGAGGGTGTTCAAGAAGTGCTGGCGCCAAGCGCTGAGCGTGGGCACCCTGTGTCCTGAGTTCTGGGGTGGGATTGCTAGGGGGAGAGTGCGTGTCTTCATGGTTGCCGTGGGTTTTATGATTGCCCATTTTTCTGTCTTCCGACGTTTCCCGATCAGTAGAGACCCGAGCTGTGCTCTGTGGTTTCCTGCAGTCACCCGCGCGTTTTCAACACAGCGAATGGAGGTCATCCACACACATACATATCCCTCTCCATCCCCTCAACTCTGGAACAAACACTGAAAGTCAAGTGTACTGGTTGGAGAAATGGGTAATAGTAACTTTAACATTTATTTTACAAACAACCTGTTCCTTTTCTCGTTATGGTACACACTTGGTATTGTCTAGGGCTTTTTTGGTTTTGTTGTTAGTGTGTGGGCATGGTTTTGTTTGTTTTTGGAGACAAGGTCTCGCTCTGTCGCCCAGGGTTGGAGTGCAGTGGCGATCATGGTTCACTGAAGCCTCGACTTCCAGAGCCCAAGGGATGCTCCTGCCTCAACTTCCCGAATAGCTGGGATTACAGGCGTGCACCACCACGCCTGGCTGGTATTGCTTTTTGTTTTGCTTTGTTTTCTTTTTTTTCTTTTCTTTTTTTTTTTTTTTTTTTTTTTTTTTTGAGACAGAGTCTCACTCTGTCACCCAGGCTGGAGTACAGGGGCAGGATCTTGGCTCACTGCAAGCTCCGCCTCCCGGTTTCACGGCATTCTTGCCTCAGCCTCCCGAGTAGCTGGGACTACAGGCGCCCGCCACCACGGTCGGCTAATTTTTGGTAATGTTAGTAGAGACGGGGTCTCACCATGTTGGTCAGGCTGGTCTCGAGCTCCTGACCTCGTGATCCGCCTACCTCGGCCTCCCAAAGTGCTGGGATTACAGGGGTGAGCCACCGTGCCTGGCTGTTTTGCTTTGTTTTCAACCACTAAAAGGCTGGATTCGTTTAACATACTGAATTCTGCTTTACAGAAGAAAACACCTTTTAACTGTGTGACTGATTACAGGCAAGTTCTTGTGCCCCGGTTTCTGCATCAGAAAATGAGCTTATAACAGTACTTGTCTCACAGTTTTAGGAGAATTAAATGAGTTATATGTAAAGCAATTAAAACAGCTCCTGACAAAGAGTAAACACCATATAAATATTCATTAAATAACATACAAACATGCCAGGTTGGGAAAATCAGTAAGCAAAGGAGTCAGGAAATTCCAAGTTGGTTATCACGACTCTTGGCCCACAGGGCTTTAATCCAGGTCCCCTTGTCTCCTACCCTTGCTGCCATCCCAGTGTCTCCAGGGAGTAAGTAGAAATAAAGATCCGATCTCACCTCTTGAGCATTTTCCCCTCCCCTGAAAGCCCATAATCACTTAGCACAGTCAGAGCTTAAGGCGCCAGGCTCCAAAGAAGATTAAAGGAACAGTTTGTGGGGTGCACTGGGCAGGAATACCCTCCTCTGAGTTCAATCATCTTGCACTCTAAGAATCACCACCATGGCCCTTGTGCCAGGGAGAAGCAAGGAGGATGGGCTTTGGACTACAAATAGCCCAGGCTCCTCCCAGCATCCAGAGTCCCAGGCTGCCCAACCCTCTCTGGGACAGAGGAAAAACTGGCAAGGTTGAAGGTCACTGGCATATTCAGGTTATACTTCCCCACCCTGTGTCTGGCAGCCGGCTTACCCTCCAATTTGGCCCAACCTCCTTGCTGTCCCTATTCAGGATTTCTCTCAAAAGTCCCATCTGCTGTCTATTGTGGTGGAAGCCTCTGAGGTGAATGAAGAGAGTGGGGATCTCCATTCGCCTCATGAGGAGCTGCTGCTGCTCACTGATGGTGAGGAAGAGGATGCTGAGGCCTTCCTCCAAGACCCAAGTGAAGAGCCAGGTGAGGCAGGTGGCTCATTCAGGGGGCCACTGTGATCTGAATGTTCTGGGCAGAGCCAAGATGGAAGTCAGTTATGGCCCCTGCATTCTGCAGTGCCAGGCACACTGCAGGTGCTCAATAAATGTGAAGATGTGGGAGAGAAAAGTCAAGGCAGTTGGCGAAGTTGAATTGTAGAGAGCAGTTCTGGTATCAGAATGGGTGCCATCCTTTAATCTTTACTTTCTTTCTTTTTTTTTTTTGAGACAGAGTCTCCTTCTGTCGCCCAGGCTGGAGTGCAGTAGCGCCCCCTTGGTTCACTGCAAGCTCCGCCTCCCGGGTTCACACCATTCTCCTGCCTCAGCCTGCTGAGTAGCTGGGACCACAGGCACCTGCCACCTCACCCGGCTAATTTTTTGTATTTTTAGTAGAGACGGGGTTTCACGGTGTTAGCCACGATGGTCTTGATCTCCTGACCTCGTGATCCACCCACATCGGTCTCCCAAAGTGCTGGGATTACAGGCGTGAGCCACCGCGCCCAGCCTTAATCTGTACTTTCAAAATATTTACATTGCTACGGGAAAAGATAAAATTACCCCAAGACCGGCCGGGCAATTTTTTTTTGTATTTTTACAAATTTTTTGTATTTTTAGTAGAGACAGGGTTTTACTGTGTTAGCCAGGATCGTCTCGATCTCCTCACCTTGTGATCCGCCCGCCTCAGCCTCCCAAAGTGCGGCATTACAGGCATGAGTCACCGTGCCCGGCCACGTCTGTGTACTGTTAAATAAGCTACTTTTTTTTTTTTTTTTTAAGACAGAGTCATGCTCTGTCGCCTAGATTGCAGTGCAGTGGCGGGATCTCAGCTCACTGCAACCTCCGCCTCCCAGGTCCAAGGAATTCTCCTGCCTCAGCCTCCCAAGTAGCCACGCCTGGATTTTTTTTTTTTTTTTGTATTTTAGTAGAAACAGGGTTTCACCGTATTGCCCAGGCTGGTCTCAAACTCCTGAGCTCAGGAAATCTGCCTGCCTCAGCCTCCCAAGAAGCTACATTTTTTTTGAGCATTTACTATGTGCCAGGTACTATGCTAAACACTTTTACTTCATGATTTTCAGAAAAACCCAATGAAGGTACTTCCCCTTTATAAATGAGAAAATTGAGGCTGCAAGGTTAGACTCTTAGTGATAAAAATGCTCTATATTTTCATAAGCAAAGAATACCACATTAATTTTTAGCAGCTTATCACGGCCCATTGCAGCTTCAACCTCCCAGGGCTCAAGCAGTCCTCCCAGCTCAGCCTCCTGAGTAGTTGGAACTACATGCCTGTGCCACTATCCCTGAGTAATTTGTTTTTGTAGAGTTAGGGGTGTCACTTGATTGCCAGGGCTCAAACTCTTGGGACTCAAGCAATCTGCCCACTTTGGCCTCCCAAAGTGCCGTGATTATAGGAATGAGCCAGTTTTGTAATTTGATAATATATCAGTAATATTTTTCTCCCTTCTCCTCCTCCATCCCAGGCTGGGCTTGCAGCCCACAGAACACTTAACACTGGACTTAGCTGGGGGCAGACCAGGATGATGAAGATGCTTGTTGGATTCTTGAGGACACAAAGTGTCTGGAAGCCACCAACCACTGTCCCTTCTGGGACTCAGCAACAGGTTCCTGTGTTTGTTGAAGGGGCTTTGTGGAATATTCTTGTCTCCTGCCTCCTAATAGCTTTGAGGGTAAGCATTGTTCCCTCCCTCTCAAACATCTCATCCAGGTTTATGAAGCTCCTTATACCCATCCTCTCACAATCTCCTTTTACAGGTGAGAAAAATGAGGCTTACAGTTTAGGCCACTAGATTATACAAGTCAGTCGGCGCCGGGGTTTGGATTCAGTTCCTGTCTGCTGCTTTTAGGAGCTCCAGTTAGTTGAAACTGGGGAAAGACCCACTTGTACCTTCTCTTTTCAGCATTCATCTTGTGCTAAATATTGCACACATCATTGTATGCAATCTCTGTAACCCCAGATTATTCCCACTCTGCAGATGAGTAAACTGAGGAACAGAAACATTCAGCAACATGGCACCCAGCTAGTAAATATGGAAGCCAGGACTCACTTTGCAGCCAGATAGCTTGCAAAGACAATAGTTCTTCAGCCCTCTCCTTGCCCACAGAAATACTAGGGTTAGGACTACTAAAATGTCTTTAATGACAGCCTTGAATCAAGTAAGCAAAGTAGGTGATGCCCCTGAAAGGGCCTAGCTCCTGCACAGTCACAGCCCAGCCATGCGACCCTTGTTCCAGGCAGGGCAGTCGCACATCAGGATCCTCATCCGAGAATTGAATTAGGGTCCCCTGAGGGTTTAGAACCCGCAAGCATTCTGATAGCAGCTGGTAAGCCCTAGGCAGACCTCCCCTGGCAACAGCATCCCAGGTGCCCTTGTCCAGCAGTAGTTGGAAAGAGCCTGAGGAAGCCACAGACCCCAGGTTCTGGGCATCGGCATGCATGAAGTGGAGGCTGGAGGCAGGGTGCCCAGGGCATAGAGGTGTTCGGCCTTGGCCACCCTCCAGGAGGCTGTTCATGTAGGCCACAGCCACAGGAGAAAAGTCCACTCCTAACACATCCACTGGGTGTGGAGATTTGGTGTAGAGGCCTGTACATAGGCTGGAGGTCCCACAGCCCACATCCAGCACCCGCAGAGGACTGGCAGCCCGTGCCTCCTGCAGCAACGGTAGTAGGAGCTCCTGGACTTCCTCGTATCCAAAGAACCAGTCGAAGGTGGGGACAGTGCCCAAACGGGGCTGGGCATGCAGCCGATCCCAGAGACAGCGGTCCGCCAGGCAGCTACCAGCCAGTGAGTCTGTGGGCACGGTTGGAGGGTGTCACTCGGTCTATCTCACCACTGCAAAAACGGCGCATATACACACTGGGGTCTTTTTTTTTTTTTTAAGACAGTGTCTCACTCTGTGACCCAGGGTGGAGTGCAGTGGCACAATCATGGCTCACTGAAGCCTCCCCTTCCTGGGCTCAGGTGATCCTCCCACGTCAGTCTCCTGAGTAGCTAGTACTACAGGCGCCATCATGCCCAGTTAATTTTTTGTAGACGGGGGTCTCGCTATGTTGTCCTAGGCTGGTCTCGAACTCCTCGGCCAAGCGATCTGCCCACCTCAGACTGGCAAAGTGTTCGGATATCAGCCGTGAGCCACCGCGCACAGGCCACTGCAGGGTCTGAGAGCCACAATTTCAGGGACTACACTCCTGAGTCACGAAGAACCCACCCTGCCCTCCCTACTCTGTCCCACCTCCCTACCCGGAAAGGGGCGGCACGTCCCCATCATCAGGCTCGGCAAGTGGAGCATTCGACGCAGCGCAGCCATCTGGAGTTTCGTTAAGTTCGACCAGAGAACCTTGTGTGAAGCGTCCACCCTACTCCATCCAGAGGTCGGAAGTCCAGGGGAAGATCTGCAAATTCCGCGTAGCGAAAGGCAGCATACAGCTTCCCCAAACTCTGCAGTTTCGGGAAAAAGAACGCGGACACAGACTGACTATGATAGGAACGGCCTTTATTGGCTGCAGCGGGAAGTGGAAGAGGGGATACAGCGTCCGCAGACCTGAAATCAAATGAGAACATGTGAGCAACCCCATGGAGGAGCCAGCTGGATCTCGGTTGTCCCGGTCCGAGATTCCCGGTGTCCCGGCGCTTGAGGATAGAACCAGCGGATGGGAAGCCGCCGGCACCGAAGACATGACGCCGAGGGGGCCAGAGCCCTTTCCCTCTTCCTCCGCACATTACGGGGAGCGGTACCACAAGCCCGATCCCCGCCAAGAAAAGGAGGATCCTGAGGCCTCGCCCAGAGCCTTCCGCCCGACACCCCCGCCACTCCCGGCAGCCCAATCCGGCTACTACAAAGAAACCTCACTTACTCGCTCACCTCCCTCCAAAAGGTCTTGCGCACTGCGGAGCTCCTTTATATAGCCCAAGGACCCGCCCCCGAATTGCGATTGGCCCGCGGAAGGCCGGGGCGGAGCCACGCGGATCCCGCGCTGAGCGGAAGTACGGACCGTGAAGTGGTGTGGCTTCGCAGCTATGGGAGCTCCCGGGGGAAAGATCAACCGGCCCCGAACGGTGACTCTGTGGGGGCCGCGACTTTGTTTCCTGAAGTGTCCCCGAGCCCGTTTATCTCGCACAAGATGGGATCAATGGGTGGCCGGGGTTGCCTCGTGAAGCGGCCCGGGGTCGCGGTGAGTCCACTCCATCTGATTCGCATCTTTCTCCCCAGTAGGAGCTGAAGAAGAAGCTGTTCAAACGCCGGCGGGTGCTGAATCGGGAGCGGCGTCTGAGGCACCGGGTGGTCGGGGCTGTGATAGACCAAGGGCTGATCACGCGGCACCACCTCAAAAAGCGGGCGTGAGTACTAGACCCTCTTCCTGTTGGTCGTCCCCACCGAGTCTTCCCTCCTCCCTGCAGAGCTCCGGAGCAGCTTCACCTCTCAGCTCACCTCCTTGTGCACTGACGCTTATGCGGGGAATGTCTGTGTGTTAGTTCCTAAGCTCTGCTAGCCTCTCACAATACCTGTAGCAGACAACCTTTCTTTGGGTTTTGGATTCTGTTAAGAATCTCAGGAAAGCCGGGGGCGGTGACTCACGCCTATAATCCCAGCACTTTGGGAGGCTGACGCGGGCGGATCACCAGAGATCAGGAGACCAGCCTGATCAACATGGTGAAACCCCATCTCTGCTAGAAATACAAAAATTAGCCGTGCATGGTGGCCGGCACCTGTAGTCCCAGCTACACGGGAGGCTGAGGCAGGAGAATTGCTTGAACCTGGGAGGCGGAGGTTGCAGTGAGCTGAGATCGCGCTACTGCACTCCAGCCTGGGCGACAGAGCGAGACTCTGTCTCAAAAAAAAAAAAAAAAAAAAAAAAAAAAAGAATCTCAGGAAATCTGTTGACTCTCCAAGTAATATTGTACATTCACGTAGATTTTTATAAGTAAACTTATTTTTACATACAGAAAAGTGCACATATAGGCGTGTAAAACTCGGTTTTACACAAAGGTACTATGAGTTCCCAAAGGTACTCATAGGATTTCACTTGTAAGTTTCAAGGCCTCCTGTGTTTTGAGGAAGAGTTCCCATCCCATTAATTACTTTCTATGTCCTTTGTTTTTTAATTTTTTTTTTCTTTTTTAAGACGGAGTTTCCCTCTGTTGCCCAGGCTGGAGTGAAGTGGCGTGATCTTGGCTCACTGCAACCTCCGCCTCCCGGGTTCAAGCAATTCTCCTGCCCCAGCCTCCGGAGTAGCTGGGGTTACAGGCGCTCGCCACTGCACCCGGCTGATTTTTGGTTTTTGGTTTTTTTTTTTTTGAGATGGAGTCTCTCTCTGTCGCCCAGGCTGGAGTGCAGTGGCACGATCTCCTCTCACTGCAAGCTCCACCTCCCAGGTTCACGCTATTCTCCCACCTCAGCCTCCTGAGTAGCTGGGACTGCAGGCACCCGCCACCACGCCTGGCTAATTTTTTGTATTTTTAGTAGAGACGGGGTTTCATCGTGTTAGCCAGGATGGTCTTGATCTCCTGACCTCCTGATCCACCCGCCTCGGCCTCCCGACCTCGTGATCCACCCGCCTCGGCCTCCCAAAGTGCTGGGATTACAGACGTGAGCCACCGTGCCTGGCCTAATTTTTGTATTTTTAATAGAGACAGGGTTTCACCATGTTGGCCAGGCTGGTCTTGAACTCCTGATCTCAGGTGATCCGCCCACCTCAGCCTCCCAAACTATTAGGATTACAGGCATGAGCCACTGCCCCTGATCCTTTTTTTAGTTTCTTGTCCTTTTATTAGCTTCTTTAATGTAAATATTTAGGGTTTCTATTACTATTTGTATTATATTTATTTAATACTTTTTCTATAGCCAGAACCATTTGTGTGACCTCGGATGGTTCAGGTTAACCTAGCTATCTTTATTTCCACTTACCCATCAGGTCCAGTGCACGTGCCAACATTACTCTGTCAGGGAAGAAGCGCAGAAAACTCCTCCAGCAGATTCGGCTTGCCCAGAAAGAGAAGGCAGCCATGGAAGGTGAGGCTGGGACAGAGGTGGGTGAGGGGAATCCTGGATTTATTTAGGTTAATACTTCCTTCTTCCCTTTACTCAGTGGAAGCCCCTTCAAAGCCAGCCAGGACTAGTGAACCACAGCTCAAAAGGCAAAAGAAGACAAAAGCTCCCCAGGATGTAGAAATGAAGGACCTTGAAGATGAGAGCTAAACCTCTTCCACTAGAAGATTCTCAACTGGAGCCAGCCTTCAGACTCAGGGGTTGTTTTAGAGGACGTCGACAAAAGCAGTGCCCCTTTTCACTCTCCAGATTTCCTCCTACCTAATGGCCCACTGACCTCCCCTACAGGGATGTCTTTGGGAGGGAAGAAGGTACAGAAGAAAGATTGGAGAAGGGCCTCTCTAGCAGGCAACTCCATTTGTAATAAAGCCCTAGCACTCTGAGATGTGTGTGATTAAATGTAGGAATGGGGATGGGTCATGAAAAGGTTGCTGAGTATGGAAACAAGACAGTGAGGAAGCAGTACCTACAGAGCTTCCTTGAGCAAATGCAGCAAGATGCCAGCTTCTGCCCTCCAAGAGTGGTGGTGCCTGACCGGGCGCAGTGGCTCACGCCTATAATTTCAGCACTTTAGGAGGCCAAGGCCAGCGGATCACCTGAGGTCAGGAGTTCGAGACCAGCCTGGCTAACCCTGTTTCTATTAAAAATACAAAAAATTAGCCAGGCGTGGTGGTGCACGCCTGTAATCCCAGCTACTTGGGAGGCTGAGGCAGGAGAATCGCTTGAACCCAGGAGGCGGAGGTTGCCTACAGGAGTATTGCTTGAGGCCAGGAACCCAAGGCTGTTGTGTGCTATGATCTCATCTGTCTCCTTAGCAAGTGATACTCTAACTTTCCATTTGTGACAAAGATACAGATTATTTGAGAAGCTGAAGTTACAGTAAGCCACCATTGTGCCACTGCACTCCAGCCTGGGCAACAGAGTGAGCCATTGTCTTGAACAATATAGATAGATAATTGTA